AATACATAAAGCGTTTTGAAAATCAGCCTTATTAAAACATGAACACTAATGTAAATATGTTGAACAAAATGAACAGAAATATATACATTATCTTTTCATTATTGTTATATAAATTTATACGAAACAATTTACATATTCAGAATATTCATTTTTTTATGTACATTTACATAATTAAAAAAATCAAAAAAGCAATGTTAGTAGAAACAATAAAGTATAATGGAATTATCTTTATGGTCTTAGCATAATGTGTTAAAAACTATTAATAGAACTATGTTGTAACAATTTCGTATAAAGTTGGTACTCATAGAAAGCCGGTATAAGGCCCCGATAGAATACACCTGAATACACTACGAGAATGGTGGAAACTAGTACGATTCTGAAGATATGCAAGAAAGGAATAATACTTGTCTGCTATTTCAACAGAGTTGAACAGAGCTTATAAGGTTTCTCAGTGAACAATTAACGAACGACAAAGTTTTCCAAAGAGTATATCGGTTTTATTGGAATCTAATACGCCCGCATGCGTATTAATTACTTCTTTTCGCGAACTCGATCGAAATACATTATCCGACGGGAGAGCACTCTTTGGGCTCCAGAGGAAAGAAAAGTTGTTGTAATGGCTGCCGTGTCATGAAATGAAGGTACCAGCACGGTTTGATCGTTCCACGATGGAGGATAACTCCAGTTCTACATCTCAAAACCATAATGGACAAGAATCTAGTGGTACGAATGTTCCGCTGACAAACAATAAACATCAGAGCTACAGTGACAGCACTAGCGATTCCAAACCACAATACACTATGCCTGGCATTCTACATTTCATTCAGCATGAATGGGCTCGCTTCGAATTTGAAAGATCGCAATGGGAACTTGACAGAGCAGAATTCCAGGTATAAATTTTATCTATTTTTGAAATCCTCGAGATATGTTCATTTGATCCCCCATAATCCCCTTTCTTATTGTCACTTCATCTGTCATGTGACAGAAACATTGTAAAAACAATCAATTTGCTTATACAGATAGAAAATATTGTAATATAGTTCATGAATTCGTTAAATTACAAATTTGCTGTACACCAAATAAGGTTTCATGTAAACATCTTCTCTTTCATCAAAATCTTGTACCTCCTACAATTGGTTATATTAAATGTCATTGTATAATTGCATTAACATTGTATCATTTCAATTGGATTAATTGCAATAAATATATGTTA